TTATTTTATGTAAATGTTTTAATACAATATATTTCCACAACAACGATCATTTTCAGTGTCCATTGAAAGTGGAAATACTGCTATTCATGCAAGGATTTTTGGAATAAATAGGATTTGAGTGCAAGCAGTAGTTAATTTCCCTTTCTCTGTCTGGGTAAATATTCTCCCCCATCCCTCCCGCTCACATAAAAACAAAGTTATCATTTCTGTGAAATCTATAAAAAGAATTTTGCGTTGAGCTAAACTCTTGGGTCTCAGAACCTCAGATCTGACCAAGTCCAGGTTTCCACGCTTAAGTAGTGACAGCACAATGTTTTCGTAAACATGTATCCAGTTGTGGTACACTACTGATAGTCGACTTACAACAGTTCGTTGAGTGACAAAAGTTACAACAGCACTGAAAATGTGATTTCCCCCCCCCCCACACACACACACTTATGACTGTTGCAAGCATCCTGATGGTTACATGATCGAAATTCAGATGCTTGGCAACTGGTTCATATTAATGACGGTTGCAATGTCCCGAGGCTATGTGATTTTGCACTCTTTTGATAGGCAAAGTCAATGGAGAAACCAGATTCACTTAACAGCCATGTTACTAACTTAACAACTGCAGTGACAGCTGTGGCAAGAAAAGTTGTGCAACAGGGCAAAACTCACCATCGTTTAGGAACAGAAATGTCTGTGCTCAATTGTGGCTGTAAAGCAGAGGACTACCTGCACAGAACTTTGGCAGCATAATTAAACACCGGTGCAACTCAAAGAGACCGAAATTAAATTCAATACTCAGCTGATGTTTTATTGTGACTCAGATACATCCTATCTCTAAGCATGTTCTTGTTATAACAACAAACAACAACTTTATTGTCACTTTGAATGTACACCAATCGGCATACATCAAAATGAAATTTCGTTGCATACAGCTCTCAAAGGGCCACCACCTCCGATATACACTCCTTGTTCGTGGCCAGCTGAAGTTTCAGATCGATCATTTTAGTCTCTAGCAGCGGTTCCCAACCTATGGGTCGCGACCCCATTTGGGGTCGATCGACCATTTCACGGGGATCGCCAAGCAAGGCTGTCCGCCATTTTTTTCCTCTTTTCCGGCGGGTGCCTTACCTCCCTTGGGCTGGGCCAGCTGGTGGTCGGCCTGCTCCGTCTCTGCCGCTTGCCAGCTACGCCTCGGCCGGCGCAGGGGGCGGAACCACGCATGCGCGGCGCTCCCGGGCAGGGAAAGTCCTCGACTTATGACCGGTTGGGTAGTCCTCGACTTACGACCGGTTTAGTTCTCGACTTACGACCGGTTTAGTCCTTGACTTACGACCGGTTTAGTCCTTGACTTACGACCGGTTGGGGGTCGCGGCATTAAAAAGGTTGAGAACCACTGGTCTCTAGGGAGCGAACGATGGCAAACAGGACAGATGGAAACGGAGCTCCGTGTGGATTAGCCCTCAAATTAGCTTGTATTCCTGCACGACAACCTCGCCTCCTTTCCTTTTTCTGATCCTGACTCTTCCACCTTTTCCTTAAAGAGGCCTTGCTTCTTTTCGCCCCTGGAGCACGCTGCCACCGTCACCAACTGCTCCAAAAGCCTCTCTCCCATCCTCTGGGCCTGCCGACAGCCTCATCCTTCGCTCCATAAGCCCCGGGGCCTCTCCTCCTCTGCCTCCTTTGGAAACAGCCCTGATTTGCAACAGAATCCGTCGCAGGGCCAGCAGTCAGATCTTGTTGCTGGTAGAACAAATCCAAACAGCGCCAACGACTTAACGGTCTCACCAACAGCTCCGAAACAGCTAGAAACTCAACATGCCAGCAAAGATTGGTCGGTTGTATGTTACCTTAGTTCCACCACATTGCTCAAACATTATCAATTCAGTATTAAAACTCTGAAAGTGTCCCGTGGTCCTCCCAAATACCAGTGTGGTTTACTGCTTTATTTAATCCTTTCTTTGCACTTGGACAAAGAGCTGCCTCCCATTGTTACAGCCTTGATCTAATAGAGCACCATAAAAACCTCATAGGAAGTCAAATCTTGCAGCTACGTGATAACTGTATCGTTTCCCTCCAGGTTGGATGGCTCCTTATTAATTTGTTGGTACCGTTAAGTTCATCTTTCAGAGGAACAAAAGACGAAGCTTGTATGTGGCATTTACACCAAAGCAAGGAATAATGGCAAACCACAGTCTGAGAGTCCTCCTCAGCTAGCCTCCGTATTTCACCAATGATCAGAAAGATAAAGGAACCTGGGGCTTCAAAGCGACACAAAGAGTTACCTTGGGCGCCTTCATCTCATTTTTGTCTTGCACCGCGACAATGCAGCTCGTGTTTAGAGCTTGTGAAGTTCAGGTACGATAAACGTTGGGCTGGCTTTTGTGTTGCAATTATCGAAATGTTAAACCAAAAGGCCGGGCTAGCAAACTGGGGTGCTTTTGAATGGCTCCTGTCTTCATTTAAACACTTCAAACTTTGTTCTCTGCAACAGCCTTTGGCTGCTGATGGTTTCACTTGCTTTCCCAAACCCACAAACTTTCAACTTGGGAGTATGTCTGTGGAGAGTCTCAGTCATCCAGGTCAGGGTTGTCCCAAGGGGGCTTTTTCAAACTGCAACTGGACTTTGTTTTTCTTTGAAGATGTTTCAGTTCTCATCCAGGAAGCTTCTTCATTTCTGAAGGCATTCAAGTCCAGTTGCCTATTGAAAAAGCACCTTTGTTTCAACTTGGCAGATGTTAAAGAAGTGAAGCCCAACCTTTGGGGCTCAGCATGTCAGAAATTTGGAAAATGCCTAATTTGATTCTGCTGACATGTCTCTCTCTCTCTCTCTCTCTCTCTCACACACACACACAGAGAGAGAGAGAGAGAGAGAGAGAGAGGGAGAGAGAGAGAGAGAGAGAGAGAAAGAGACAGAGACACACAGACACAGAGAGACAGACAGAGAGAGACACACAGAGAGACAGACGCAGAGAGAGACAGAGAGACAGACAGACAGAGAAAGAGAAAGACAGACAGAGACAGAGAGAGAAACAGAGACAGAGAGAGAGAGAGAGAGAAACTATTCTCTACATATTGATTTATTAAGAAAAATAGTTAAGTCCAGTCATATGTGGTGCTGCATAGTATATTAAGAAATGTCCAATAATTTCAAAAATGAAACACAAGTAAAACATACTTATTTTCGGAAGGACTAGCAGTTGCACAAAAGCACACCCCATTCTTGCATGGCCTCCAAAAATCACACAAGAACTGGACATGCTTCCAAGGATAGTTGTTGCTGAGTACTGGTGAATGCTGGTATGTCATCCAAAATGTTGTGTATCATATGTTCATCATCACTGGGCTAAAGACACTATTATCTCTAATGGGTTCCAGCTTTACTGCCCAGAGCTGCTGAGATGGGCAGTCTCTGAATTTGGTAAATAAATAAAAAAAAATCTTCCGCACTTCCATACATAGAGATCTGAATCATGCATTTCTGGGAAATCATAACCCAGAAATGTGCAGAAGATTTTGACTGGAGGAAGCGACTTTCAGAGCAGAGCTGTTAGACATCCAAAGTAGCTGTTGTTTTTGTGTAGTTTTGTGGAGGAATTGGTAGGAGCTGTCCGAATCAACAAAGAATATGTTGCTTCTTTCCTTTGGAAGGCGAATCTATCATGTAAAGAATAACATAACCTGGCATGATGTCTACCCCAAAAACATCTATGCATCGTGTGGAATTTTATTTATTTTTATTTGTTGTATCCCATCTTTATAATTTTTTATAAATAACTCAAGATGGTGAACATATCCAACACACCTTCCTCTCTGCTTTCCCCACAATAACCACCTTGTGAAGTGGGTTAGGCTGAAACTGGCCCAAGATCACCCAACTGGCCTTCATGGCTAAGGAGGGACTAGAATTCAGTCTCCTGATGACTGGCCTAGAGTCACCCAGTTGGCTTTCACGCCTAAGGCAGGACTCCTGATAGACTCTATAACCAGAACTCTCTTCATTCTCCAATTTCTCAATTTTTGTAGTCAAATTAGAATGCTCTAAATAACTGATGCTTCATCTCTGAACAGCATAAGACAAATGTAGACATTCTACGTGACTTACAGTCATGAGATTGGCATGTACAGCTTGAAAACTGTATACCATATACAGCAGGGGTCTTCAAACTTGGCCCTTTTATGACTTGTAGACTTCAACTTCCAGAATTCTTCAGCCAGCATGCCTGGCTGAGGAATTCTGGGAGTTGAAGTCCACAAGTCATAAAAGGGCCAAGTTTGAAGACCCCTGATATACAGGCATCCAACACTTCAAATAGCATGCAAGTGGGAGAAATCTTGAGTGTAGGCGAAGAATATTTCTTCTTACACGAATACCTAATAGACCTTGCCTTTCAACGTAAGACATCAAGAACACAGCAGGATAGGAAATAACAGCATAGCAATAAATCTTCCCCTTCCTAAAACGGAACTATGATGCAAGAACTTACCTGCAGACAAATGTCTATGAAGATTCTCGGTCATCCAGGTCACAGTTGTATCAAAAGTGGTTTTTATTTTTGAAAAGGCAACTGGACTGATTTTTTTGAGGAAGAGGAAGAAGAAAAAGGGGCTTCCTGTTCCAAGAAATTCCACACCTCTGATTCCAGTGACCTTGAGGTCACAGATAAAACCCCAACGCTCTCAGAGTTTTGACTGCAAAGAAAACACAATCTTTCCATCCCACCCCCACCATCCTATCAGAACCCATCATTCCTCCCCATCACCACCAACTAATCTCAACTGTCAATAACTGTCTTTCCATCTCCCACACCATCCAATACAAAATGGATGAAGCTTCCAGGATAGGAAGTGAAAGCTCTTCTTCTCCCTCCAAAAAATCAGTCCAGTTGCCTTTTCAAAAATAAAAACTACTTTTGATATACTTGCAGACAATTCTGTAAACGCTCCTTTAAAAATATCAAAGGTTGCAGCTGAAAAAGAATTGAAAATGAGCAGGCAATGTTAAATGTGTCTTTTAACCTCAGGCTATTTTAATTCCATTTCGTTCTCCACAATTATATAAAGTAAGCAAACAACAATACAACTACAGAATCAATGGGGTTTTTTTTCTCCTTCGTTTGCGTGAAAGCAGCAGTGTATAAAACGTGAAAACAAAAACAAAAACTCAGCACAATCTTTAGAGGAACAAGGACCAAGTAAATTTTGCTGAAGACACGGGAAATATCACCAAGTACAAGTGCACAAAAATATTGGAATGCATAAAATATGAAGCTACTCAATAGGTAAAAAGGAAGGCGTTGTAAAAAATACAGGTTTGCAAAAATTAAAACCACGAGGAATTGAGGGGGACAGGACTAAGAATACACAGAGAGCATCAAAAACATGGGTGAGAGAGGGGAAATATTTTTTTTTTCAGTTGGATACTATTTCTCATTTTTACGTCTTTGCTTTCTTGGCTTCTTTCTTTCCAGAGTTTTCTGCAGCAGATTCGGCTTTTCTTTTTTGAGACTAAAGGGGGGGGGGAAAAAGAAAAAAGAAAATGTCATTTTCATTACTCACACGGTATTTTAGAAAGGTAATGAAATTGAATAGGCCATTATGTTGCCAGCTGAAAGTAACAAAGGACCTTCATTACGTTTCATCCATCCATACAGACACATTTCGACCGGAAAGATGAACAAACAGGGCCTTTGAAAAGACGCGCAGGGCTGAGAGAAAATTTGCAAACCTTTTAAAACTACGTGGAATCCTGCAAAAACTGTCTGTGACCTCCAGTGTGGTCAGAACTTCAAATAAACTCTACTAATACACGGCGGTTCGAGTTAAACAGACACCACCTGAAACACAGACTGGTGTGGCATGTTTTTATTAAACTCATTAATCAAATTCAGTGACTTTGCTGAAAAAAACTCAGAACATCCTACCCAAAAAAAAAAAAAATCAGCTTTTTGAAAGGGGGAAGCTGAGTCAGATGTTCCAATCAATTAAACAATAACCCTGCCTGACTTTGAAGGGCTGTAAAACGCACAACAGTGGTTGCCACGACTGGAGGCTGACTTTCATAACAGAGGCACAGTATGTGAATCAGGCTATCAGGCCCAGTAGGTAGACTAACCAGGAGATCAACTCCACAGGAAGGCTAAAATGTCTTTTATTGAAATTGGCCATTAAGAACAGCATCTTAGAGCCCTGGTGATGCAGTGGTTAGAGTGCAGTATTGCAGGCTAAGTCTGCCAACTGCCTGGAGTTCGATCCTGACCGGCTCAAGGTTGACTCTGCCTTCCATCCTTCCGAGGTCGGTAAAACGAGGACCCAGATTGTTGAGGGCAAGAGGCTGAATCTGTAAACTGCTTAGGGAGGGCTGGGAAGCACTGTGAAGCGGTGTATAAGTCTAAGTGCTATTGCTAAATAAGAGCCATGGTAGCGCAGTGGTTAGAATGCAGCATTGCAGGCAAACTCTGCCCACAGCCAGCAGTCCGATCCTGACAAGCTGAAAGTTGACTCAGCCTTCCATCCTTCTGAGGACCAAGATTGTTGGTGGGAGTATGCTGACTCTGTAAACCGCTTGTTGTTGTTGTTAGTTGCGAAGTCGTGTCCGACCCATCGCATCTCCATGGACAACGTTCCTCCAGGCCTTCCTGTCCTCTACCATCTTCTGGAGTCCATTTAAGCTCACACCTACTGCTTCAGTGACTCCATCCAGCTACCTCATTCTCTGTCTTCCGTAAACCGCTTAGAGAGGGCTATAAAGCTCTATGAAGCGGTATATCAGTCTATGTTATAATGTTATCTTGCAAGTCTGATTGTGTTGAACCTCACCCCCTTCTTATACTGCAATGATTTAGAGAGGGGGAGTCTGTCAATCATTTCTGAATGTTATCTCCTTGCTCTGGACTTTAAAAAAAAATCAGCCTCCTTTTGCCTAGGGATCAGTTCCTGCCTATTTCCATCAAGATCGCCTTCCTTATTCTCTTTGTATGCCCTATCAAAAAACATTCTCTGTGGAACTCAGAAATCAGGGATACCAGTGAGCTGAATGTAAGCACCTGTGGGATATGCAGCATGACCAAAACCACTTGTAAATATGTAGCAAAATAGCTGAAACAGAAGAAATTGATTTATTTTGGAATGGCCGGCTCAAAGACCTCACCATAAATTAATTGAAAATGCTGAGGCAGATACTGAAAGTAACCATTCTGGGCAGGAAGCCCCCAAAATCAGCGAGATGAAGAAGCAATTCTGCAAAGAATAGGCAAAATATCTCCTAGCCATTGTGCAGAATGGATCAATAGATACAGGAAGCTTGGAAGAAGACACTCCTGCCACAGAAGGTATCACCAGTACTAAATCTAAAGCCACATATGATTAAGGGCTGGAGACTAAAAGATAAGAACAGTTGCAGTAATTGGATATGGCTAGTATAGAGAAAAGAAGGATTGGCGTGACTTGGTAGCAGGATTGGGGTGACATGATAGCAGTGTTTCAATATTTGAGGGGTTGCCACAAAGAAGAGAGGGTCAACTTATTTTTCAAAGCACCTGAGGGCAGGACAAGAAGCAATGGGTGGAAACTAATCAAAGAGAGAAGCAACCTAGAACTAAGGAGAAACTTCCTGACAGTGAGAACAATCAACCAGTGGAACGGCTTGTCTTCAGAAGTTGTGGGTGCTTCATCACTGGAGGCTTTTAAGAAGAGACTGGATAGTCACTTGTCTGAAGTGGTACAGGGTCTCCTGCTTGAGCAGGGAATTGGACTAGGGGGTATAGGGAATTGTAACTAACTCTTAATTAACTAACATGCTTTTTCCCAACCAAAATGGTGAACGGTGCATTTGGGGTGCTGTTTGTTTAACCAGAATCATTTTATTTACCCAATGAAGCTCTAAACACATTAACTTAAAAGTTTCAAATTCATTCCCCACTACAACTCATCATATTTTTAACCAGTACATTCTATGCAAACTATCCAAGAAACGTAACTCATAAAACCCCTCAGAGCCTGGGACCTCCCATCCCTTAGAGATTCCTCTTTTAGAATAGAATAGAATTCTTTATGGGCCAAGTGTGATTGGACATACAAGGAATTTGTTTCCAGTGCATATAAACAGCATGTAATAGGTCATTGATCATAAATCATACTTATTACTATCATTAATCAGAAGTTACAAAAGTTAAAAATTAAAGTACATTTGGTGAGATTCCTCCTTTATGAATTCTTGCTCAATTTTTCCCTAGGAAAACAAATTGAGTTTAAGATACTAATATTTGCAACTAGCAGAAGAGTAAAGATGCAATGGGCCTGCACATTATTTCAGGAGTCCCTCAACACCCACCACTGGAAAAGAAGAGAATTTGCAATCTAATATTTGGAAAGCCAACTTTAAAATTAAAAAAAAGGACCTTAGGAATTGTTTTATCCCCCCCCCCTTCTTTTATTGTAGAAGGATGGATATATAATTTTATCCAGCTGTAAGATTTTCCCCTATTGGCCAATATGGTTTTTGAGTTGTTATTGAGTTATACTGGTTTATGTGTTTTGACTGAATCTGAACGCTTCTGTTTATTTTCCTTTCTGTTTCAAAGCTTCTTCTGAATTCACCAAAGGAAATGTGGTGCATTTTAAATGTAAAAAAAAATAATAATAATGTGATGAGTAGATATTCATTAATTACCACTGGTGTCTTGGTTCCCCGCTTCTTCTTTTCGGCTTTCTCTTTTTCCTCAATTTCCATATTTTCCTTTTCAATGAGTGATATGAGCGTATTACACCGTCTCTGGAGTTCCTGTGTAAGATCAAAAGGAAATTTCAAGTTCTGCAGCAGTTTAAACCAAAGGAAGCTGAGCAGAGACATTAAAAGGCAAGGCGTCCAGGCTACGAGGCACGGATAATTCATGCATGGTGAAAGGCTGAAACGAAGCCAAGAAATCTTATTAAAATGTGCTTCATGCTGGCAACGTAGCATTTATGTTTGTTGACTTTAGCAGTAGGACGCATTCTAAAGTAGTTATAATCCAAAGGATTGAAGAGGAGGTGGGCCAAAACCCTCATTATGCCCTATGAGATTGTACAATAGCTACTTTAAGGATACAGCTGAACTGCACTTTTAATCCAATTCCAGAAAGGCCCCCGTGTGTGAATATGACACCAACGTGCACCTCTATATAAGACCATTATTCCCTGGGATCCTGCTGCAGTTCCAAAAGGCAGCCATTAAGACCCCAGGAAAAGATACAGCTGCAAACAGAATCCAAAGCACTGAGCAATCCTTTAGGGCAGGGGTCCCCAACCCCCGGTCCGTGGACCGGTACCGGGCTGCGGCATGCCAGCAACCGGTCTGCACAAACAAGAAAAGTCCCATCCGCAGGATGTAGGCAGCACACGAAACCACACACTGTCTGGTCTGTGGAAAAACCTTTCTCCATGCAACTGGTCCCTGGTGCCCCAAAGGTTGGGGACCTCTGCTTTAGGGTAGACATTGCCAGACTGACTTTCTGGAAACAGCTGGCCACTTTAGATAACCAGAATTCTGCAGCTTTCTACTTTGGCACTATCAAGCTACTTCGGAGAACAACTTCACCTAAGGTACGTTTGGTGCGTGTGCGTATGTGTATGTGTGTGTGTGTGTGTGTGTGTGTTTATGTATGTATGTATGTATGTATGTATGTATGTATGTATGTATGTATGGCTGTGAAAGTTGGACCATAAGAAAGGCTGAGCGTCAAAGAATGGAGGCCTTTGAACTATGGTGCTGGAGAAGACCCCTGCGAGTCCCCTGAACTGCAAGGCGATCAAACCGGTCAGTCCTAGAGGAGATCAACTCCGACTGCTCTTTAGAAGGCCAGATCCTGAAGTTGAAACTCAAGTACTTTGGCCACCTAATGAGACGGAAGGACTCCCTGGAGAAGAGCCTCATGCTGGGAAAGATGGAGGGCAAGAGAAGAAGGGGACGACAGAGAATGAGGTGGCTGGATGGAGTCACTGAAGCAGTAGACGTGAGCTTAAATGGACTCCAGAAGATGGTAGAGGACTTCAACTCCCAGAATTCCTGAGCCAGCCGTGCTGAGGGGAAAGAGAGGTTTCCAAAATGAGCCATGGTGGCTCAGGAATTCTGGGAGTTGAAGTCCACGAGTCATAAAAAAGCCAAGGTTGCCTACCCCTGGACTAGCCCTTTACCTCATCTCTTTTGCCGTCTTTTTATCCTTCCGTTTTACTGATTTGATTGTTATGAGCCACCCAGTCTTACTGAAGTTAAACAAATTCTTTATTATTATACACAGAAAAATATGAAGCTCCAGCTGCCAGTTCTTTCACTGGTATGGGCCTTCATATGCATGAAGTTCTTTTCAAGAACTGTACCAATGTAGTGTATGTGTGGATCCAAGGCAGTATCAATTTGCAACTGCCTGATGGAAATGCTGTCAAAAAATATTTTGAGATGTATTTTTGGTTGACCATTTCATATACTTCACAACCAGGAAAACCAGCAGCATTTTCTCCACTGAAACATCCCTTCCTAAACCTTACACGCACGCAATAAAATTTCCTGTGCTGTCTGCTAATCAACCATTTTATATAGAGAAACAGATTGTGTTATTTAAAATACGTCTAAAATTTGGATACGTGAGCGCTATAAACACCGCTTGTGATTTTAACACCAAACACATCAATCTCATTATAAATCTTTTTTGGCTTGGAACACGGTCTCAATATGCTTAATTATGGTAGCAAATAATATTTCACTGAAGTGATGCTCTCATTTAAGGGCAACAAAAGCCATTCAAAAAATGAAATAACTACTCCTCTGTAAGACCCACAGACAAGACAGGACAGGACAATCTTTATTGTCAAGTTTTACGGGGAGCACACTAGCCCACATTATAAATGAAATTCTATTGCCTGCTCTCAAAAGAAAATATACATCTACCCATACACATACATGACACACATATACACATGCTATATACACACACAGACAGACCAGTCTGTCTGAGAAACTTCCTGTATATACTCCCTTGACTCAGTTGGCAAAGAGGGGAGGAGAGCCTGTGGCTTGGTGGTTAAATCACTGCCTAGTATGTAAAACTGCCCAGGTTCAAATCCCATAAAGGGTATGGCTAACTGATGAAAGCAGAACAAGCTAGAAATGGCCATCTTAGTCTCCCGATTTAATTCTTTACTCTTTGTCAGAAAAAGAAATTTGGATTTAAAATGTTTCGCAGTTGCGACTTGAGCCTGCTTAACGCCCCTAGCTGGGGGCTGCATGGTAAAAGATATTGTAAAAAGAAAAACTGCAGTAGAGCAGTTAAAAATGTCAAGGTGTACTCAATCAGACCAGTCTGTCTGAGAAACTTCCTATATATACTGTATATACTAGCTGTACCCGGCCACGCGTTGCTGTGGCTCAGTCTGGTTAAATGGAAAAGAAAGAAAAGAAAAAGCTTTTACGTCCAACAGATGGTGCTGTTTTTCAAAAAAAGCATGTTTTTACCTGTCACAAGTGTGACATCTATATAATAGTAGGTATATAAAAACACACGTGTATTCGAATGCAACGTTGTGTCAAAATTTCAAAGCAATCGGTGAAGAACTTTCGGAGATTTAAGATTTTGAACAAACGAACATTTACATTTTTATTTATATAAGATATATATATATATACACACACACATATACACATACACACACACACATATAAATATTAATCACTGTCCATTTTGAATACATAGCAGAAAGAGGAAGCTTGAGAATTCACAAGGTTGATGCTATCTGGAACAAAACCAAGACTAAATCTGGATGTTCTGCTTCAGATACTACAGAGTCTCCTTCCAGAAGGTAACAAGGAAAACAGGCTGTGAAGAGCATGTGTAACATTCCAGACAATCCTGCAGACCCTGCTCAAGCATCACTTATATGCTATGTCCTGGAGAGAAGGAAGTGCCATCCTCACCACTCTCTGGACCGCCTTCCTGTCCAAATCAGTGATGCTTCCAAACCAGACTGTGATGCTGTATGACAGGATGCTCTCGATCGTCCCTCTGTAGAAAGTGGTCAGGACAGGGGAAGGAAGATGTGCTTTTCTCATGCGACACAGAAAATGCAGGCGCTGCTGTGCCCGCTTCACAAGTGTCTCACTGTTGAGCAACCAAGCCAGTCTACTCGTTAGCTGCACACCCAGAAACCTGATGCTGCTAACCACCTCCGCAGGTGAATCCTCAATATACAGAGGTGTGTTAACAGATAATGGAGGGAAGCGGGTAAAAGTCATGGAACCGCCAGCTTTTCTGCCAAAACTACACTGTCTAGCATTTAAGCTCTCTGTGAACAAGCCTCTACTAAGAGTTGTCAAATTTGGGGCTTGCATTTACTATAAGATGAAGAAATGCAAATGCAGAAAGGATCAGTACAAATTATTGTCCCAAAATTAAATTCGGAATGAAACAAGACCAAGTGTGTTCAAAAACAGCTATTCTTCTTCTCGTGGGGTGCCATTTTGACCAAAAAGGACACAAGAAAGAAAAACAATTTGATCCCTTTGAAAAACTACGACTGGAATGAAAACAGGCTTTTGGTCCCCAGATTCCCAAAGAGTTTCTGGCTTCTGAGTTTCTTCCAAATTTTAATATGCAACCCAAAAATAATTCAACATATTTTTGACTATTTAAAAATGTTCCCTAGTTATGGAGGAATGCACAATACCAGGTGTTTTCCTTCCCACTCATTTAACACACTGCATTGGGAATTGTTTCCTTGTTCAAATATGGCAATAGCAGAAGACTGGTGAGATTCTGACTTCCTTATGTTGCAAACCAACCTCAAAAGTCAATCGTGAAATTGTAAATACCTTGAGTATCTTGGAAGTATTCCAAGCCTGTATTGCAGAGATAAGTGTGAAAAATCCTTACTCTGAACTTCTCTTTCATAATTTGAAGATTTTTCAAGAGCTCCTTCCTTCTCATATTTCTACACCAACACGAGCAATGTTTGGCCGTGGAAACGTAAGGGCAATGGAGACATTAGGATTTACTGGAAGTTATCGGTGCCATTTAGACCATCACTGTAATCCGAGTATTAGATCAATAAATATTGGCTGGTACGTCTGCCAAGCTACATCCCCTGCTTTGGAAAATGTGTTTATGGGAGACACTCAGCACAATATCAACTCTGCAAATTAGTGGAGAAACATGAGCCGTATTTTGTTGTAGTATCAATTGCAGACTACTTTTCCAAGACCTGAATTTAGATATTATTTGCGACTATGCTACCTCTTCACGTGTATAAAGCAAATCAAGTGTTTTTTTGTTTCTTTATTTGTATTCCATTCTACCCCAGATTATAAAGATCATATTCGCATCCCCAGTAAGAATGGAGAGCCGTGCTTGTTCACAAGGGCTCTTAATAATGACTGCTATGAGCTTTTAACTATTCAGTGAAACTTCCTGTTTGCCATATATTTTGACATTCAAATCATGTAGCGTTAATAGATGCCTTAGATCTTTTGCTGCCAATATTCCATTTCTATAAGTAGTAACCTTAGAGTTTGAAGGTTTCAAGGAGGTTTCCAGGTTGCTTTCTAATTAAGTGTAGTTACTGCAACACAGCCATCATTTGTTAGCAGAAGGCAGTACAGCAACAAAGTGCTGGTGTCACACATACTATCAGCATCTCTGTCAATTACTAAGACCTCTAAGAGGAAATCTGCGACTATTTTTCGATCATAAAGAAATTGTCAAAATATGGAATCTCCACTATGAGGGGCAGGAAAACTTTCCTGTGTCCTGAAAG